CCCATGCGCGCACCTCTACAGCAATTTTGGTTTTCCACGCCCAAACAGGACACCGAGTGTTAGCCGTTAGCCAAAACCCATGCTTCACACATTTTTTCCAAACTTCTTGATCAAACACAAGTTTCCCACACCATGAACGTCATCACGTCCATGCCAGCATCAGGATTATTTCATTGCGACAGTGTGGGTCTTGAAATTCACGACAAATTCCGTTTCCAGCATTGTTGGTGTGACTGTTGCCACCATTGTTGTCATTGGCCCCGTCGGTAGGAAAACGTGCAACAATTGCGCCCCCAGTCAAGCCCACGTTTGTTGACCCTCGTGGGCATTCGCCACCTTCTAGAACTGCGCTATTCGCGTATCGCCGTTGGAGTTCTTTCTTGTGGAGTTTCACGTTTTTTTCCCCTTTGGCCTCTGCGGAACGGCACGACACCAGCATGTGGGTAAAACGTTTTTTTCTGCACACATCCAATCACCAGAGCATCCGTGCCCCAATCACAGTGACATTCGTGTATGATTGTGCACGTTTGACAGGATATCCGTGCACAAACCGCCATGACCTTGGTCCTCGATTGCGTCCATTCTCAAAGCAGCCATGCCCAAACAATACCGTTCATGTTCGGCTGTGCCTCAATTCCGTGCGCAAAGCAGAGTTAAATCCATGTTTTTTGGTAGCTACTGATTCATGTTGTACAGTTGTTGTATTCAAGCAGGTACCGCTGCCATCTTTTTATTGTTCTTTCAGAAAGCACGTTCCATATATGGGTCCACGCGGCCCCCGGCGGGTCCTTTGTATGGCGTGGGTCCTCGCGGATCCTGCGCAAGCCCTGCGGGACCACAACCATGACGTGCATCACTGCCGTGGCAGCATCAGCGTTACTTCATCACAACTGAACGAAGCGTGAAGTTCAAGGTAAATTTATGCCGTTAACGGGTTTGTTGTTACAAGTTGCCCCCAACCCCGTGTTGTTATTGTTGTTATTGTCGTTGTTGTTGTTGCTCTGATTGCCGTCACTGTCATGTTTTTGGTTTTGATAAACATTGCTGTTGTCACAACTACTACTCATCATGTGTAAGTGCTCATTGATTATGACCCCTTCTTTGCGAATTCCTTGCGAAAAAGGGGTACACAAGGATGTCAACGTTTCAGTCGACGTTTCCGTTCGGAAAAAGTCCAGCATCACGATTCGGCCATGCCTGGCAACCAAGCGGCAGTTTCCTGCAATCGGCAAAGTTTCATGCAGGCCGCGACCACCTTGTCGGCAACAAGGCGTCCCTTTGTAACGCGGCCCGCTGCCAGCGCTGGCACACGTAATCATGCTCCTTGATTTGTTTGCAAGGGCGCGGACAGCCAGCGTGCCAGCATTAATTAACCCTTCCCTGCATAAACTTGCCAAAGGTTCGTTGGCAAGACACCTGAACGACCGTTCATCCCCTGGCTGTCCATGACCGGTTTTGCAGGCCAACTGCCGCAGCGTGTCACTGTCATGCCTTACACAGCTAAACTTCCATGTTGCAAGAACATGCCTCCAAAGAGTCACCAAGGTATTCTCTCGGCTCCAATGGCGAGTTCGATTTCGAGGCGGCCTGACTCAAGTCTAGAATTTTGTTTTCGCTACGTGAGGGGGGCTTCTCATCCGGCGTAACCCAACCTGCGTTGAAATGCGTTTTTTGTTCCGGTGTGGGTCTGTTTTCTTGCACTAATCGTGTTGCTACTGCTATTGCTGTTGTAGCTACGGGTTCTTCTGTCTGTGGAGGGGAAGGTGGTGGCGGCGCCGCGGCGGCGGTGGTGGTGGTGGTGGCAACGGCCGGGGGAGCAGGACAGCAGCCAGGAAAGGTCGCGAAATTTCCCGGGCTTCGAATAGTCGCAGGCGTGAGAAGCACTCGATTATCATCTCGTTTGCAAGAGAAGCTGCGGATGTGATCCTACAGATGGAACGTGGAATCATGGATTTCATGCCCTCTTTCCTGAAAGCTGCCTACGCCAGGATGCCATGTTGGCTCGCACTGGCTGCGCTGCAACGCCGCTGCAGTTCAGCATGCACATGCGAAGCTTTGAAATCATTTGGCGGCGCTTGCCCGCCCATACAACCATACCATAAATTGTCATCATGAGTTGCGGGTTCAACATCGCAACCTTATAACGGACAGGGATGTCCATGTTTTTGTTACGAGGTCATGCTTCTGGCATCTGACACGCTAGTAAACGATGCGCAGGTGAAATGAGATCCCATGCCTTGATGCAAGTAAATTGCAAATTTGTTGGACTGAGATTGTGTGACATATGTTTTTTTCGTAAGTGCCAACTGCAACGGCCTTGGCATGTTGTGCGGGGGAAGCATAAGCGGCATCAGCGGCAACCATGGCCGATGAGTTCATGCCTTCCTTGAGCCCCAAGTCTTCAGAGTCGCGAGGTACCAGTAGCAGACCGAAAACGCCCACACCCCAATGCTTTGCGACTCCACTTTGCCATCACTTTGCAAATCCCATAAGATTTGTTGCAGCTTGGGTGCTGTGACGTCCAAGGTTCGCATTTTCGACCCGGCGACCCCGCAGTCAGACCATCCTTTAGCTCCTGCAGTGATGCCGGTGCCACGATGCATGTCAAGGTTTGGCTGAGGGACGTGGAGTGGCGGCTTGGAAATTTAGGCCAAAAAATGCTCGCAAGGTTTTTTTTGGGATGCTGGGTTACAAAACCTGGGTTGGGAGCTTGTTGTAGAATAAAGCTCCGTTTGTGCAGAACATTGTGGTTCCACTTTCCAATTCAGCATGTTTGACTGATCCATTCATGGACAACCCACCTGGTATTCCTCCACACTTTGCATTGCGAGGCGCAACCGACATATTACCCACGTCACATAGCCCAACACCCTGACAAAAACAAAAAAATGGCAATGGCACCATGTAATTACGAGGGCTGATGGGGTTTCAGCCTAACGCTCCATATCCCCATTAAAAACAAGTCGGCACTTTTTTGGTGCCCCCCCCCTCCCCCCACACGGCCCACAAATCCTGCAGTTACGTTTGTGCACAAAAAAAATCCATAAAATTCCCCGTTCACACTCAGGTGGCTTTGGGCCGTTCCGACGGTGTGGAGATGCTTCGATGGTGGGTCCGCAACCCGAACGGGCAAAAATTAATTCAATTTTCTTCCATTACCTGAACGATCCCAGGCTTCCGACAAGTACAATGTAAAATTAATTGTTCATACAAGAACGTTGTGGTAGGGCTGATGTGTGGCTGCCAAGCCACAAGTGACACAATCATGGAACAGCAGACATTTATGATCTGCAGAGCGGAGTTGGATGAAGAGTTTTCGGTCAGGTTCAGCAGTGTGAAAAAACCGTGCGCAAGGATGATTAACGCAACGTTGCGGAGTACAAATGTTAACCATCAAACAGCAGCCGCAAGATCCAAGCCCCATCGCAATCATCTTTCAAGTGCTGCGCCAGAATCGCGGTGGAACACCTCTTCACTGTCAGACATCATGTTTAACATGATTGTGAAGCTTGGGCAATGTTGCAAAAACTTGACAGAGCCATTAGGCAGACATGTTGTGCTACGGGCTCACATGTTTTTTTTCTGGTAAACGTTTGAATGCTACAGGCGCAGTCATCGCCGACCCTCACACCTACCCGCACGCTGATGTCGCTGATGCGTGAGCCTTTACGACGAAATGATTGGCCTTGTTCGGTCCTGAAATCCCAACATGCTCGGTGAGTAATCGATTGTGAACTAAGGAAATGGGCGACAAGAAGATTGACATACTCAAGGTGGAACATTCGAGCAGACCTTCCTCCCTGTGCAGTGGTAATGAATGTTTGCGTTGGTCCGCCTCTGCAGCAGCCAACATCGTTAAGCAGAAGATATGCATGATAATTTTCATGAGGTTTGTTCAATTGCCGTGGCCATGCAAATTGTTCAAATCGTGGTTTACTTATTCTCGGCATGACGTGGGACTTCGGTTCATATTTTAGCAGAGGACAATTCCAACGTTGGATGGGTTCTGTCAAGATCTTCTCCGCCCACCGGAATTCATAAGACTTTTGTATTCGGATGTGGGAATGTTCTTTTGTTTTTTGTTTTTTGGGTGTGCCAAAGACATGTGTCGCCACATTTTAAGGGCTAGCCCCAAAGAGGACCATGATTTTGACCGTGGCTTTACACCCCCGATGACCTTGATTTTGATAATGCCAGGTTGACATTGAAGGTGGTGAATACGCACTTGCGGGGCAGGCCTGGCAGCGCACTATTTGGTTCAGGTTTTAGGGTTCAAGGTTTTCAAGCTCTTAGACACAACTGGGATGTGCATAATGAGTATACAGACGTGTGAGGCAATGTGCGGGGATTTGCGGATATGCCGGGTCTAAGATATGGGGCAGACAGCTTTCAAAACTGTTGAGTTCGTTGTTATCCCTTATAATTTCCTTGCAAAAATCTCTGCTAGGTGTTGTGCAGGAGGGTCCCATTTGGGAATCCCCATATGTCCCTATGATCAAGGTTGTTTTGACGGGCGCGCTGATGCCAGAAGGATCCAGAAGGCTTAAGCACACTGATGCCAAAGGGTTTGTCAGACATGGGTTTCAAAGTTTACGAAGCTGTTTGGTCTTCGTTCAGGCGTGAATTTTGAGGATCAAGTCCGAAGCCCCGGAATCTCTGAAGTGTTACGGAAACTTGGGTTTGCTCGCCACACCGCACTGCCAAAGCATCACATCTGGCATTTCCATCCAGCTGCGTGCATAAAAACACGTTCTATGTCAGGGCCAAAAAAACATCACATTTTGGGAATGCGCAGCAGTTTTTTGTCTTCCTTCCCAAGAACCCTAGATGTCAATGGAAAGTCGTTCAACGCCTCCATCCCTTCCATCAACACCTCTGCGACCCTGACACTGACATGACACATTTACGTTGTCGCCGTGTTCTCGGTGCAAGAGCTGTTTTTTTCTGAATTGGGCCGTTCTCACATTGCTACATTCAAGCACCAGTAGCCACAGTCTTTGCGTTTTCCTCCCGGACAACAGGTTTGGCCGCCTGTGGGCCAGCTTGTGATGGAGGTCAGGGCACTCATATCTTTTCACTGGCGCTTCGGGATGTGGGATTATGAGAAATGCAACATAACGTCGGTGTATTTGAGTCAAGGGTTTCCAATTCAATGCTTCGGGAGATTTCTACGGTCATTTTTTGACTGCTTCTTCCCAATTTGGGAACAACAGAATATATCCCGATGTAGCTTGCAGTCAGACTTTGCAGCTGAGACTTTTATCTTCATGGGTTTGGTGCTATGGAATATGTTCCCATGTTCCCTACTAAGAACAGTGAATTTTCCGTCGTGTTGTTCAGAGATTCAGGTTCAGCATCAGGGTGAGGCTCCAAAAGTTTGGAAATTTGGGTCTGCCGGATCTTCCCTGGTGTGCCTGCTGCAACTCGTCAGCCATGCTACGGTTCTTGTGTTGAGTTGCGCAAACCCTTTTTCTGAAGAAGCTTGGGAAGGGGACCCTGTTGCAGAAAGAGCATAGCATCAGCCTGCCTTTTTCTTGTTGACCGACCACTGCTGCCTTTGTCACGAAAACTTCGAAAAAAAAGCTGCTGACGCACCTGTGCACAGCCGTTCCTCCTTTGGATTTTGTCCTCCTGGTCCTACTTGTCTTGGTTTGTCGACACAGGCCATGTCATACTGACCAAAGTCACGCCATAGATTTCGCAACGAACCATGTGCCGACCATGAAATCTGAACCGATGGCCGATCATGGTCAATTGGTTCAGGTGCACTTGAAACCACGCTTTGACTATGACCTGAAAGACTTGCGGCTGCTTGTGGAAGCTGCAGAGGCTTGCCTGGAGTAGACGTGCAAGTCTCAACTAGATTGTTGTTGTGGTTGCGATAGTATTTTGATGATTGATGGTTGCTGTTTTTGTTCCTGATATCACTAGCACTGTTGTTCTCGTTGTGTCGTTATAGTTGTGGGTAATTAATTGTGAACGATTTTGGGATCAAAGGATCCATCGACTAAACATTCGAGACCCGGTCGCCCAGTCAAGGCAGGCTTGGTTGTCCCGAACGCTCCAACATTCACGACATGGTGGTGTTTCAAAAGATCTGTCCCAAGGCAGGTGCCCATGTTGGTTAGGTTCTCCATTTAAAGAAATGAATTCGCAATGGTCCTTTTGTTGCAAGGACGTTTATCTCAACACCCACACGTGGAGATGACACGCAAAAGAGCCTATGCCGGGCCTAAACCAAAATTTTGGCCGAGTTCCACAATTCAATTCGAACATGAATGCCTTGGCATGGTAGTTGTTGTGCGGAGCTGAAGGCGTAAGGTCTAGAGGTCAACTTCCGAGTCTGTGTTGTTAATGACTGCCCGTCCAGGGCTTAGCATTGCAATGCATCAAAACCATGTGGTTGGAGAGATTTACCAAAGCTAAGTATGGTGCAGGCCCAAGGCAGAATCTTGAACCCGAACCGGAACAAGATTCGTGCAACGGCTAAGGAAACTCCAGCCAATTCAAAGTTTTATTGGTTCTTAGAAACGAAACGGTGGAAAGGATCCGTATAGCAGCCAAACAACCAGCAAGACAACCCTGAACCTTCTACTTCCAGATCCTATTGTTGCATGTCACTTTCCAGTGTTTGTCCATTTGATTTTTCCGTTCCCTACCAGCAGCCAGCAAGAACCCAAAAGGTCCATGTGGGTATTTTGTATAGATTTGGGCCCTAAGGTAGTTGAATGGGAGCCTCTTTGTGCCTAAAGTATACACTAACTTAGTAAACAGGTGAATAACCCCTATAAATTGGTGACCTCAGTTATCCCCATTATTACCCCGCTTATTTTGCCCCCCTGACCCTGAACCCTAAACCCTGAACCCAAAATAATGTTCAGAAGTTTCCATTTTATTTCCCTAAACCCTAAACCGTAAACCTCAAATCGTAAACCCCTACTAGCAACCAGCAAGAAGTAGGCAGCTGGACTCCGCCTCTTTCACCTAGACCGGCCCTGGAAATACTGTGGATGTCCCTGGGCAGCATTTGCTTTGCCTCCTTTCAGGAACCTTGAAAGGGCCCTACATTAGGTGGACCCCCCACCTGTAAAAGTGACTATAAGGGATAATAGGGAGTATATTAGGGTCCTCTTATATTCCTATCATACCACTAGTACAGGGTGGGGGGTCCTCCGAAGCTTTACATAACTACATGGACTACTGTTTTGCAATAGGAGCTGAGATGAGTTTACATGGTAGTTTGGGGCAGGGTACTTTGAGGGGGTTTGGAGCCAGGCAATATGTGATGGGGTGTAAAAAACTCCGCGCAATTTGACCTCTAGTATTGATAGCAGCAAGCAAAGTTGGAAACTACAATTCTTCTTGCCCCGGTAGCTTCTGAACTGAGGGTGACAACCTGTGCTTACTCTTTATTTGTAAAGAATAAGGGAATATGTAATCCCTATAAAAATTCCCATGTTATAGCATAGTCCCTTATTCCGCATTCTAACCCCAATATATACACTACTATTATACAGTAGTAGCTTCCATTTTCTTTTCCCATTATCCCTATATACCCAGTAAGTTTGAGGTTGTCTGACATTCATCAGCCAGGGGCATGAACCGTTTCAGGCTTGGGGTAGTGGGTTTTCAGCCAACAGTACTATGGAAAGCTGCTGGGTTGCTGTTAAGGAACTTGAAATTAACTCACCATAGTATGGGTGTATAGAAAACATTGAAAAGTATTGGAGTAACTTAATGCAAACTCTTTGACAGCAATGCAGACTACTGCATCTCAGGCACAGAGCCCCTTTTTTTGGCGTACCTGCATTACGTTGGCCATATTTCCAAACCGGGAGAATGCCTACAAGTTGGAAGAACTTAGTTCTAAAGGTGCAAGACACCTAGGCAGTCCAAACACGAGACCCATTCAATGCCTGAGAAGTCACAAATGAAAATGCCACAAGCCACAAAGCCTGGAACATATGAATGGTATTTTTTGGGGGGATACTATGGTACCCAATATAGAGTAAGATTCTATCCTGCTTTTGGGGTTTAGTATTTTATATAAGGAATATTACCTTACTCGGTTCAACCACCAAAAAAACACTACTCATATGAATCGGTAAGAGGCCTGCCCAGGATCTAGACAGCTCCTTCTTGGGTAGGAGGTTATAAATATCGCTGTCGCCAAAACGCAATATGCCGAAAAAAACAGGAGTTACATGCAACCGCATAGGTTGGGTACTGCCCCTACCCAGTAACAGTCTATATTAGGGGTCCTATTAAGGGCTATTTATGACCATATTATAGTTATTATCCAACTGTTACTCATTGGGGGCAGTATCCAACCCATAGGTAAACTTGTTGACGCTGAGAATTTCATCCGGGCTATTTATGACCATATTATAGTTATTATCCAACAGTTACTCATTGGGGGCAGTATCCAACCCATAGGTAAACTTGTTGACGCTGAGAATTTCATCCCAAGCCTTTCAAAAACGCAAGACTCAACGTTGCTAAGCCACCCAGTACTAGGAGTTTACACCATAAATCATACTAGGGCCCCTAGTATGTTTTGAGACATATTTCTTGATAACGGGGCATCGATCCCTACAATCATAGCCCCCTAGAAAAGTACCCAGAATCATCAATTAAGGGTATTGGGCTCCCTGGGCACTGCGCGCTTAACCTGAAAGCTCAAATCCCAAACCTAAACCCCTACAACCCTAACCCTCAAACCCTAAAACCCTAACATCCTAAACCCAGTAACTCTCAAACCTTAAAACCCTAACATCCTAAACCCACTAAAGAAAACACTCAGCCTCCTGCCTGCTACTCTCCTTCGTGCATCGGGACTGGGCTCAGCAATGAACGGCAGGCATACCTGGAGGGTTGTTAATTTGGGAGTTACTAGTGCCCAGACCCCTGGGAGGATCTAGAAAGTAGATCCCCCTTAAAGGTTCCTAGAAACTACTCAATAGTAGTATAGGGTACCAAATTGGGGGTTCTACTTTCTAGATCCTCCCAGGGGTCTGGGTGGGAGAGGGTATCTAGTGCAGAGAGATGGTAGTTTCCGTAGATAAGTTGACCCCAATATCGAAAGTTACAACCCTTCTTATAGGGACCCCCAAAAAGGCTCCCTAGCTTTGAGACACCCCCATATCCAGGGTGCTATAGGTTTCGCCCCAGGGCCAAACCCTAAACCCTAAAGCCTCAGGGCTTCAAGTAGCCCCCCAGGTAGGGTGGTATTTTATTTGCAGCCTTGACTCGTCTGGAGTAGAATCTTAACGAGGTATATGGTAGTTTCCGTAAGCAAGGGGACCCCAATAAAGACCCCCAAATGCTATAGTCCTTCCTATGAGGTCCTCAAGAATGATATCTCTGATTTTGGGAATTGTCATGGCTTATTGCGTGAAGTTTCTAAACCTTTCAGACCCTCTCTCCAAAAGTCAGGCTGGCGCTTAAGGATTTCGGACCCTAAACCCCACCTACTCTTGACAGATGTATGGGTAGAATGTACACGCACTTAGTTATGCATGACCTTCAGCCCTACTTGTACCAGGCCCCTTAAACTTTGCTCCTTAAAGGCCTATCGACGTCATGACGGTAATAGATGCCTACTGCTAGTCTTTTGTTTTCGCTCTGATGTTTTGGTACCCTAAACCCTAAACCCCTTCTACCAACGAGCGTGCTTTGAAAGAATAATCATGGTACCATTCAAAACAAGCCTTGGTAGCATCCTCATCTTTCCCAAGCAATATGAGCTATAGTCTAAATTCCTCAAAGGGAAAGGGGCTTATATAGGGGACTATTGTAAGGTTCATGAAGGGGGATACGTGGAGTTTAGATGATAGCTCATACGCGCAAATGTTCCGCAGGCTTTAATGTACTCGCAGCGAGCCCTATACGATTTTTCATTCCAGAGCATTCTTTGCATCAAAAAGACCTAGCACTACTCATGGCAAAACCCCTCATCTAATTACAGTAGACCCTGTTCAAAATGGTTTAGGGTCGAGGGTCTAGGGTGTCGGGTTTAGAGTGGTAGGGTCGAGGCTTAATACCCAGGGACATG